ATTTCATATCGAGTCATCATTTCGTAATTTTCATACATTTTGTTGTCTAATAAAATCGGAATTTTCATGTGGGCGGACGTTAATTTGCATCATAGCGTAAGAATACCAGGCAGTGTGCTATCTCAATTATCTTGGGCCGAGACAACGCTTTCGTCTAGTCTGCCCGCGCTTATCCACCGCAGACTTCCTCGAATAGAGAGCGCACGATTTACGAGGCAATCTGAAAATTGAAATTTACACCCGCGCACGTCGGCGACAGGAAAGATCGGCGCGATCGGCGCCGCGAAAGTGGGTCGTAAGAAAACAGTTGTCGATCTCGCGGTCTCGAGATCGCTCTTAAGCGTGTCGCACCTTAACGCGGTGCGCTTTCAGCGGTGGTTTCACGAGACTCGATACTATTATACATCACGCCAACATCTGAGAAGGCAAGAGAGAGAGAGAGAGGAAGAGAGAGAAAGACGGGCAAATCGGCGGGGGAGAGCGGTGCGAGAAAGCAAGAGAGCGGTCTCGCGGTTGTGATTAGAGCTTGCCGCCCGGTGATTTGTGGTCGAGCGGGTCTGTTAATTGTCACCAGGACGCCCCCTCGGTTTTATATCTCTGCTCCGGACCAGCTTTTGCACGCGGGACGTGTAATGCGCTATCAACCGCGCGCTGATTCGTCTTGCAACGGCGAAAAGATAATGGAACGTCACGTAAACGATGCATAAGAGTACCTTGCGTCTTATGATTACGCTATCTCGATATATGAAAATCAATTTTAGAAATCCGCATCAACAAAAGACAGTGTCTTGGATTCTATTAACCTCGTCTTTATATGAATCTCAAACAGCTGTTTAGATTGTACGCTACACTGTGAAAAAAGTATGTAAAATTACACATATAATCAATTTAACAATTACGTTATTTATAACAGAAATATATAAATTCATGTGCTTTTAAAATTAGTTTTTTTTACTTTTTATTGTGTAAATATTCGTTTATATTTGATGAGAAATTACAAGATTAAAAGTGTAATTTTTGGATTTTATGTAAATGTACAATTTTTTGTAACATTTATATAAAATTTAAAAATTACACTTAATAAACGAATATTTACATAATAAAGAGTAAAATAATTAATTTTTGTAAAAGTACATGAATTTATATACTTTCGTTATAAATAGCGTAATTGTTACACTAATTATATATGTAATTTTAAATTAAATTTAATATGTGAAATTGTATAAATACATATACAAAATGTATTATTACATAAACATTTCTAGAAATCTACTTCTAACATGTAAATTTATTAATACAAGATGCTTACTTTACCATTTAAAGTAATAATTTTATCTATAAAATGTAAATTTACTAATGTATGTAAATATACACTTTTAATAGTTAGTCTCAATATTACCCACTATAATAGTTGTAAATTTACACAAAAATTTTTTTACAGTGTATTATGACTTCATTTCCTTTAAAAGCGATATGAATTAAATGTATGTTTCGCTAAATAAGGAAAGAAAGATTGTAGAAATGCTAAAAAATATTCTTCATTTCTAACCACATTTTTGCTAAAAAAATATTCTTGCACTTCCAATAATATATTTTTTCTACAACAAAAGAGATGCGGCAGGAAACTTGTGTGAACAATTCTCGGTCGTTCTTCAACGGCGCAGGAGGCCCGTAAAAAGTTCTCCGTAAATGGTGCACGACAAGAACGAAGTACGACGGTGTCCCGCGGACGTGTACATATGTGGACGCGTTTAAGTACGCATCACGCGCCGAGGGGAAGGAAGGGGGAGGAAAGGAGGATGGGACGGGGCGCAGCACGTGCACAATGGCTACGTCCGTCAAGGTTGGATCCTCTTAATTAACCCGACTGGTTACATCGTTCCTCCTGCGCGCGACGGACATACCGCCTCGTCCGTACCCTGTTTCGTTTCCCGAAGACGCTCCTCCGCGCCGGTCCTCCGCTGCCCGTTCCGTTCCTCGACCTTCTATTCTCCGCTTCTACGAGAAAGCGGTGTCCTTTTATCGGGATGAGTTGTGTCGCCGGCCGGTGCGCGTCGTTATTATATCACTCTCATTATGCGCGCTTGCGCCAAAGGCGGTACCGGTCTGCGGTTACCGTTCCCTCCGCACGTCCCGTTTCCTTCGTCCGGACGAGAACGGCGATGCCGCGGAGAAGCGGGACGGTGCCAGGACGCGCTCCGGGGAACTACCGTGAGACGATTACCGCGCTCTCGATCCTTCGCAGGTGGTGGTAGATGCGCGATAAGAGGGAACTCGCCTACGGTAGGGTTGCGGCACGCGATGCCCGGTGCGCGATAACGACTGGCATCACGGGAAGGTCGAAGTGTACTTCCTCGAAGCCTTCTTTCCATGGACGCCTGTCTCTCTTCCGCCCAGGTCTCTGTTCCGACTCTACTCGTTCAGGGTCTGATTCGTTCCCGAGATTGGCTCTCGGGGACACAGGTGGAACTTTTCTCTCTTCCTCTCTCTCGGCTTGTATATTTCCTTGCACTTGGTCCTTCTTTATTTTTTATTAAAATAAGTCTTTTCATTTTGTTGGATAAAAATGGAAGATTGCGAAAGTCTTTGGATATTTTTGTTGTCAATTTTGCAAATCTGAATTCTTAACTGACGGTAGTGAAAACGTCATATTAAAGAAAGACTTTGACATCTGTAAGCGACTATAATAAATCGTCAGAGTATTGTATCTATTTAGCAGTATTATCTTTGGCGAAAGAAACCTCACAGCTCTCCAGCACTTGTCTCCAGACTCCGTATCTTGTAATTCCAAGGGAACACGTCGGTCTGCCTGGTTGCGCATCATCCGGACGAAAGAATTCGCGTAGGTGTTCCGCCATCGATATGCAGGTGCGATTACCGGATCGTCTCGCGATCGTTCCTCCGAAGAAACGGAACAGGGTCGGCCGATCGCATCACGATTCGAACAGCTTTAAAAGTCACGACTGCATGACCACGTGAACGTCGGACACGTAGATTATTTCGCTTCAATTCAGATCGTACGGCTTGAAAATTCAGAACAAGAAAGGAAGTATATCAAGGTGATAAATACCACCGTCTAGAAAAAGATTTAATCTCTGATTAACATGCTTGAAATCAAAACGTTCCTCTTAAGCGTTTATTTTTTTCTATTTGTTGTATGTTTCAACGTGTGCGATCTCGAAATTTGAGATGAAGTATCCTATGCACACATATATAGCCAGTCAATGAGATTGCTATGCTAATTCCGTTAATGTCGCATGAGTTATGGCGCGGTGATTCTTTTCTTGGCGGGAAGAAGCGTCCGTTTGCGGAGGCGAAAAAGACGACGCTTTCTATGCAGCCACCGGTGACGATACTCTCGCATGTATCTTAAGACCCGATAAATTGAACTTAAGGAGGAGGAAACAGAAAACGGAAAGACGATTCGAAAATGAGAGGGAGAGAGAGAGAGAGAAAAGGAGAAACCAACCTTGGCATCGTGTGCGCGGTAGTCATAAACGCCTTATCGCGAGCCGAGCTGCGAGCATTCTCGCTCGCAGTAACAGGTGAAAAAAGGCCACCGTAATCTACGGTAATTGAGATCCGATACCAATTAACGACCGCCCGATGTAAATGAGCGGAGCGTTAATGTCGCGCGGCGGTGGCGCGTTTTTGAGACGAGCTGGAACGATAGGGATACGAGGAGCAAACGAGGCCCTTTTGTTGCTCGACTAAGGACGATAATTGAGCGGATAATCGGTAAATTATTGAAAGAATACTCGGTAAGAGCGTGAATAATGTCGCGGTAATCTTGGCATACATCCCAAAGAAAGATGGAACAGAATAAAGTAGAATTTATATTGTAAGAATTTATATTGTAATTCGTGTGTGTTTTCACAGCTTTATCAATGCACAATATCGGCGATAATTATCAGTACATCTGTAGGTCCTTCGTTAATATTGTAATCTCGTTTTAAGTTTAAATATATATCAGATTTTTTACTCCAAATAACATTTTTAGTGCACTTGAATTGAAGATATGAAATGACATGGGACAGCTGAAGCAGCGACTATAGATTTGCAATCTTTTCGAAATAAATATATTGACAACTTGAATGATACTCGTGGACGATTAAAGGATGCAAGGGTACGAATGTAATCGACACTACATCCATAGAAAAGATTTCTAAATTTAATGTTATTACACTTCAATCTATCATAAAATAGGATCGATATAGTGACAGTCATATTTTTTATTAAAAAAAGAATATTTTAATCTTAAATGGAAATTTCTTAAATCTAGAATGAAATGATCCTGATACTATCTACAAAAGACGACAGACGCATATCGGTTTCGCGCAACTATTGGCTAATATCAAATTATTCTAAGTGCAAGAATATATAGCCTAGATTTCTTTATATTATTCTTGTTTCCAGATTATAAAGACAATCTTATTTAATTCGAGAGAGAAGAATAAGAATTATTATTTTAGTTTTAAAATTGTTTCATAAGATTGTGACTTAAATGTATGATTGTGGATTAAATGTATCAAGAATATTTTTCGTCCTATTAGAAGAAATCCTTTCTGAGGGGGTATAATTATCCGGAATACAAGACAAAAAATTCGCTAAATTTGCTTCAAATATTAAACGCGCATCTAATTAAACAAACATGAGGGTTGGCGTTTTCTATATATGATTTTCTCTGTATGACTGTTGACGCGACCAAAGAAAATAGTTGCTCGTGGAAGGTGAGTTTGCATGTCCGCTTCGTCCCCGGAACCGTGAGGTCGTCGGCACATCGTCCTCCGCGGCCATCGCCGCTTAATTCGCACCCACGCCCGATCATTAGCGCCGATTCCCGACCTGCCTCAACATCTCGCATTATGCGCTCTCAATCATGCCGGCCGTTCACGGCCGCCTAGTCGCCCGGGGAGCCGTTCGAATCATCGCTCCTCCTCTCCAGCGTCAATGACGCTCTCTATCTCGTAAATAACCGAGATTCTCCGTAATTGTTTTAGATGAGTACCTGTCACCTGTTGGCTGCTCTAGCGCGGAGGTGACGGGGAAAAACAGAGAAGTAGAGGAGAAAAATTTTAATGCGGCACGCAAGTCAGGAAGGAAGATGGAGATGGACGATAAATCAAGCATCGGTGCATCACTCGAAGACTGATTCCAGGTAAAGAAGCAACGAGAGAGGAAGAATCGTCGAAAAGGGAGATTTGCAAAGAGGGAGGATACTCGAGTACACGTGGGATAAGTAAATCATAGGGTAAGTAAGTAAATCATTGATGATTGCAACGTTGGTCGCCCACTCGGCTCCTTTCAAAGATCTTTCTCTTTTTGTATCTCTTTTCTCGTATCTCCTTATGTATCGCATTTACGTTTTATACGTACAAAATTAACATTGTGTTTATCGGAATATTAATGAGTCAATTAAAGCAAAGATTTCACTCAAGGCAATTATGTTAAAAGTAAAAGGGTTAAATTGTTGCCAGAGAGATGCAAAGATTTCAACATGTTACGAAACAGTTTGGGATAAATCTATGAAAAGCGAGGAATGTCGTTCTTCGAGGGCTATACCATTTATTGCGAACACATTTATATCATCGTTAACGATAGCACAAATATCGATTGCTCGCGGACCAAGCCAACATTTTGCGAGCTTTTACGTGCAAGATTTACGCGTCGAGAATCGTCGTCGTGTATATCTTAACGACAATCTCGACACATTCGGGGGATGAGATCACTGCTCCGGACAAACATCATTTCGCTGAAATTCGCGTGTCGCGAGTAAATTTACCGGACGTTTATATCGCAGATTAGCAAATACATTGTGCCGCCCGTTGGTCCGCATAAATGAAAGATAATCTCGCCCATTCGCGGAACCATTGCGTGTCGAGAAACGTTTTCTCGGAACACAATGTCGAAACGATGTGCACTATCGCCGCAAGCAAAAGTGAAGGGCCATAACCGAATGATTAGATATCTCTGAACCTTAACGTGCGTCATTATCAGGAACATTAAATGTCTTCTACAGACGACATTATATCTCGTATCATGGGATCGTTATTACGTTGAACGAGAAAAGTCAGCTATTCCGTAGCGTTTGCCCTAATAGGACGTCCAAATAGTACTTAAGACAACAAATGGCAAGAATTTTCCAAGCCATTTGATCAGATTTAGCTTCGGTAATCTCTTCAAATGGATGTTGAACATTAACTGAATATTTTAGGTCGCTTCTTCCGCTCTTGTATCTTAAACACTTGTACCTCTAGTCTTTTTAATGATCCAACTTTTAAATAATCCAAATAAATGAAGCAACATTTGTACGTGCCATAATTTCACTTTCTTCATATTTAAAACAATTTTAATTTGAGTAAAGCTTCTCTGAGCGAGGTCCGACGAGAAAACGCTTGCCTAATAACGCGAGTTAAATGAAGCGGGTGTAATTTATTTCTTCTTGACCGATAAGATGAATTTCCGTGTTCCAAGAGAGTAGTGCGAGCTTCATCTTAAACGTCTATTTATAATAAGGCGACGCTTATGTACCGCTTATATCGTCGGCACCGCTATCGACCACGCTACTTACGACCGGGTCCGCGCTACCAACGTCGTCCCGTCAGCGTGGATCCATTAGTCACCGGTTGACACGTTGACGGCTACCGTATATACCCACTACCGCTTACCTTGATGGACCGACCGTAGGGGCCGAGGAGGCGCCGGTTACGAGTCGAGAGAGGCGAGATCGTCTTCGTGCGAGTCGCGCGCGGGCAACGGCCAGTTAATGCTATGCCTGTTCTGGGCGACGGTGACACTGCCAGGGAAAAGCGTGCATTATCGTACGTGGCCGGGTATATTCCAGATATAAAAGAGAGGAGGAAACCTATAAATTAGTAGAGCCCGAGATCGAGTCTCACGCATGTGAAGCTCGTGACGCGCGCGCATTTATTATCATAAGCGACGTGTCGGCTCAAAATTATTCCGCCCGCAGTTATCGCCGCGAGTCAGCGCCGATACCTGATACTGGAGGAGACGATTTGAATATTTCCCGACACGATGTGCGTTATGTATCTCGGAAAAATCACTTCAGTGCGAGAGACTTCATAGGTAGATGTACCTTTTAGAAGAGATCGCAGCAGATGTGACTGCGATGGTAGATATATTTAGAGATTACGACTGGCTGAAGAAGCGATAAGTACCAATCAGATTATATCTGAGAATTTAGTGATATGGTGGAATTCATAGAATTTCTCAGAGGAATGCACGAGTAATGAACTCGACAATACATATCTGAAAATAAATGTAAAGAGGTTATTTATAGTTTAATATCGTGGATCTCGATCAATAGTTAAACTTCAAGTCTAGTAATTAAGACTCACGTTGTTATAATGACAGAAAGTACGGTGATATTTCTTTCCTTTTAAAAGAGAAAAGTTTTAGAACGTTTTAGAACTTTATTTACGTAATTTCAACATCAAGACACATAATTTCTTTTATATGGAAACTATCCAATTATTTTCTCGACACCCAAGTTTTTTTCAGAGCAGGAAGACCGTGTCTAGGAAATTTGAAACTGCTTATTATGAAATTCTCGTTGATATATGAAGTAAGAACGCATACTCGAACAATCGTCGATTTATTAGAAAGCTATCGATTTGTCTCCGACTTTGCCAACCAATTTCCATTCGCTTCTCAGGCGAGTGGAGCGGAGAGAAGAGCGAATGGTGAAGATGAGGTTCTCATAGGATGCGTAGGTTCACCTACGCACATTAGAGGTCAGGTACGCATCTTTCAGGCGCCATTATGTTGCCTCCGGCCGACGAAGGAATTACGTTGGCACACGCGCGAGCGCGATATTTATAATGCCATGCTTAATTGTTGTCCGTAGATCAACCGTATATCGTAACTTCTCTGGAAACTCGCCCACGTGAAAGTGCATACGCGACCCCGTCGCATAATTTCTAAGATCGCCAGCGGACTTTTCGCGGTGGAAGTAGAAATTTTGTGAACGCCATTTTTTATTTCGACTTTCCATTCATCTTGCTTCTTCATGCAGCTCTTTGGCCTTCTCACTTTTTAGAAAAGCGAAATATATAATTACATTTATAATTAATTTTTGTGAAAAAACTCTTGGTTTAATTATAAAAAATCTTTATAAATTAATTGTAATGATTAATGATAGCGATGTGGGCGAAAGAGAGAGAAAATATAAGAATTAAATCTGTATTGTCTCCCTTGATGGGCTGTTTTGCTCTCGCACATAGTTAAATGAGATGCTAAGAAAATAAATTCGTCAAGTTTACACAAGCTTGAGGAGACTAATGCGTCCCTGCGTAGCAAGAGGTCATAGGTGGCTACCGTACGCTGCCTCTGTGCGTTGATAGAACCTCCTCGTGGAAGGAGCAAGACGAAGGCGACGAAGTAGACTTCTTTCTCGAGGGGCTGCCTATGTCTCTCCCACATCTACCGAATATATATTCACTAAGTGTGATTCTATGTACCAGCCACCGGTATCCTTGATGCGGAGTTATATCGCGCATCAATTGATCGCCGAAGTAGGTAGCAAGATACGTGCTGGAGGATAAAACACGCACAGGAGGCTAATGTAAGACGGCTTCGTAATGAGGTGACGAGAAACGTTATGATCACGACAGTGCATTCTTATCCGTATCGATAATTCTTTCAAACGTCTCGATAAAATTGTTGCAATAAATTCCGAGAAGTATTCGATAATACTTTTCGCAATTTTACGTTGCATCATACGGAGGGATAGAAAATTATGATCGTGAAAATTATGCAATCCATTGAATGCAGCGTTTATTTTCACGAGTATCATTATCGTAACTGGAAACTTGAGAAGTGTATTACGATGTTTCCGAACGCGACGCGAAACATAACGCGTCACTAAATGTCATCGTCGATGAGCGCGTATCGCCAGTCACATTGGTTCATTATCATTCGTGTCGTCGTGCCTATGTCTTCCGTCCGCGGTTTCCTTTAACTCCATCCGATGCCTCGTTTTATATGGAGCACAAAAGGGTCCGCATGAGACGCAAATGCACGCGCACTTTCTGCCGTTTTTCGACATTCGTGTCGCGGTCAACGGAATTCACTTAAGCGGGGAATGCGTGGCTCGTGTTCGCAATCGTTTCCCTACCGAGTGCATCTCGTGCTCCGTCCACATACTCACTTATCCGCCTTCCCTTATAACGCGAACGCGTTTCAGCGAGCACCATTCGCATTGACACCGATTTGAATACCGATGTGGTACAGGTGCGATCGGAAATTCGAGACGATGGGAATATCGTACGCGAATATGTCAAATGCACGCATATTTCGGATTCTACGTGCATAGGTAACGAGGAATGAGCTTCTTCAACGATTATTATTTTTCTTCCATTGCTTTGGTTTCAAGAAAATTTAAAAGTTTTTAGAAAATTGTTGACACAAATGTATCAAATAAATACGAAAGTGCAGAATAGATTTCTTCGATTTTTTTAAAAATTTTTATTTTATCATAAAGCAACGTATATTGATGCGTGTATATGAACGCAAGAAGTTATGGAACGGTACATTTTTACTTTTCCTGATGGTAGTGGTGCGCTGACATTATTTTAAAATCGCGGCACACAAATGCGCAACCTTTAATCGTGCTCCGACGCATTAAGATGACAGTTATTCCTTCAGCCAGGCGCGAAAAAAATAATAGTGCCCCTTAAGAAAATACGCACGTGAGCGCAGCTATATTTCTCAACGCTGCGAAACATTTTCTCGGTTGCACAGCGTGATGTCGATCCGACGCGGCGCACGCATTGCGCCAAATAAAATGATATCACTGGTATTATAAACCTCGCGCGAACAGTCAAGTACCGATCAGAAATGGGCCGTGCAAAATTGCAAATACCTGTGGCGGTAATAAAGTCGAGCTGTAATTATTTTATTGCACGCAGGCGCGGGTGCGTGTCACGTTAAAGGCTATAAATATAAAGACACTCTTCTATTCTAAAAGCCTGCCGATTATTTAGCGGAGTCCTTATGTATCTGCGTCTCGCACGCGCGCGTCCGCTACATTGATAATCTGATAAGCACTTTTATTCGGTCGGGCGTGGTCGGGGAATTAGGGCGGAATAAATGAGGCAGTCTATTATCCTGGAAATGGAACGCACGAGATTTCCGATATATCGTCGTATAGCGACCGTGCACTTTCGTCTCCTTTGCATACCGATGATAAAGTGAAAAGTATGTTAATTTTATCGGGCGCGGTCGCGA